ACACACACACACACACACACACACACACACACACACACACACACACATATGCGCCCATAAATGTGACACTGAGTGCAACAAAATGTGAATAATTCAAAAAACAAATAAATATTTTATTCGCAGCCATTCTATCGGAAACAAAGTACTGCACACAACAGCAGCAGCCACACAAACTAAATGTGCACTAAAAAATGGATGTTGAAATTGAATTTTGTCCAAAAACGTAATTTGCGAAAACTATTTAAATTAATTTAAATTTGCATTGTCAAAATGTATTTACATTGGTTCGAGGCGCAAATGAACAAGACATTTAACAATTTAACATGATGGCCTACAAAACTTCGTTCTATTGTACACGCGCCCGAAAATTATCTGTCTGATTGAATTGCAAAAGCGCCGGAATTAAGCTTCGGCAACAGATACACCGATTTTTAAATTTAATTTACTGTATTCACAATGATTTGATACGGTAAACAATGTGGAAATTTGTAATGTTGTTTTCTTTTTCATTCAAACATTTTTGGGCGCAAGCACATAGTTAAGTAATGAATTGAATATGAGTAAAATAAATTCATTTGCCGGAATTTAGTATCAGGAAAAACGAAAACCGAATTTATCCGAATATCGAATATAATTCACTGTTCAGTGCTGCACTTCTGAGCATTTCAATGCGTTTTGATTTGTTCAATGACAAAAATCACCGACACATAAATAGAGAATTTTACACATTTCGAACGAATAAAACCAAGAATTGTGTACAAAATGTAAAACAAAAACAAAAATTGGAGACAAGATATTCATATTGCAATCATAATTCAGTTTCAGATGCATGTCGTGTTATTTATTTTGGTTGTTTGTTTGTTTACATCCTTTTCTCAACTGGTTGCAATTTCATTTTCCATATTTATACAATTTATTTTCTATTTCTCTGCTTCTTCTCCGCCCTGGTCTAACTCTTTCGTTTTTTTTTTCTTCTTCTCTTGTTCACAGCAATATTCAGCCGAACAGCAGTTTATGGTAACAACCGACAATTTGGTTGCAACGCGTACTAGCCTTAAGTTACAGCTGCAGAGTTCACATTTCCATGGTTCGCCACCGTCAACAACTGGCGGTCTCACATTAAGATGCATAGCAGAGATCCCAAATTTGTATTATTTGGAAAGCACTGAAGTCGAATTGGGTGCGCCACAAAGAGATCCAGTACCAGCCAGAGGTAAGTGTACATGTCATCTATTAAATTTAAAACATTCACTGCATTAGCATAGTCCGCTCAAAACGCTGTGTGCAAATGTGCACTATCGTCGTGTCCGTTCCATTCCATTCCATTCGATTCGGCTGTACTGTGCTGCAATTCGGCCCCGGGTGCAAATATATTGTGTCACTAATTAGACAGTGTTGACTATTTTGAGGATGTTTACAAGTTTTGTTTGATGTTTCCATTCAACATGATTTTTTTGCGTATTCTTTTAATGCAATAATATGGATGCACGTTTATTTTAAGTGAAGCGATTGTGGTCGACTTTAGTTACATCTTCCTCCCCCCACGAACGAGCACTACAAAAGACAGAAAGGGAAAATGGATGAGTCGAAAATTTGATATTTCATACGGGACATAGGTGGTTCTTTCCATGTCATTGTCAATACACCCGAGATGCACATGCTGGAAAAATCGAGCAAAATTTACATACAATGACCCGCTCATGCAATGATCACGGTGGCAGAAATCAAGAAATAAGCTTGCAATGCTTTATTTTACAACGATCAAAATGGAAATGCCGCACAATATATTCCGCTTTGCCTTTAGTCATCTGCTCGGTGTTTTCTTTTTTACTTCATTTCTGCGCTTGACACAACCGTTCGCATAGAAAAAGCGGTGCAAAACGGAGCAGAAGAAATGCATCGCCGCCACAAAAATGCAGTCAACCAGTGAAACCCCAAAATTATACGACACAACACGGAGGTTGATTTGCAATTTTTCGTATCGTTTAAGGTTTGTTGTGTTTGAAATGAGGAGCATAGCTTAACTCCGATCCCGTTTTTTCGTCCCCCTTTCCTTCTCTCTCTCTCTCTCTCTCTCTCTCTCTCTCGCTCTTCGTTCCGTACGTGTGCATTTGAATTGATGGCTACTGCACACTAAATGCAAGAGAACGAGAACATGCACATGGAAAGATAGAGAAATTTTGAGCTTTTCCAGTTGCAAAATCACACATATCGTGTGTGACACCGGCAAACGCATTCGACGATCTTTTTGCACGGCTGATGACAAGAGCGCTCGTCACTGTATGCTTTTACTTTGGGCTTTACCATAACGGGAAAATGCTCCCTAAAGCCGCTATTACTTTTATTGGATAATAGAAACAACTGCACAACGTGCACACATAATATCTTCGTCGTCTCTGTATATTGTTTGAGGTCCGTGTCGTCGTCGTCGTCGTTGTTGTTGCTGCTGTTGTCTTCGTTCACTTCGAACGACAAAATCTCACACCAGCCACACAACTAGCAGCCATATGAAGTACACAAAGAAAGGCATAACCAGCAATTCCAGTGAATTCAGTAAATGAGATGAGAGTGAGAGAGCCGAAGAGCAGCACAGACCCATTCACACCAAAACCATGGTTTGCCGGAATAACGTATTTGTTCACTGTTGTTTGCACATAATACGATTTCGCCATCAAACTCTCTGAGGAATCTAGACACATCTATAGCAACAGCAGCAGCAGTAGCCGAAGCAGTGGCAAATATTTGCGCATATTCATCGGTAGACAAACACATTCTTTTCGGCTTTATCCTACTGCTGACTGCTGCTATTTTTCTTGTTTTGGAAACGTTCGCTCCCTCTCTATCTCTCCCTCTCTATCTCTTTCAATCGTTCGCTTCCTCGAACTCTCTAGCTTATGCACCGTTGTTCCTTGCACCTCCTTTACCAAAACTACAATTATGTTATGTGTTTTCCCTCCATAATATTATCTCAGAATCCATTTAATATTCATAGTTGTAAGTTGTTAGCACCAGCCAGAGAGACGAACATAACACACCAATTGTAACGTGTGCGCTACCCGAAATACGAAAAGCCAGACAGATAAAAATACAACAAATAAATGCTCGTGAAATTTTGAAACTATATCAGTTTTCTGCATTTTACGTGTTTTCATACTTTTCCTTCGGTCGTTTCATGAGCCAATGCGTTTTGTTTTTAGTGGCATTGTGCTTTGTTATTGTTGATGCTGTTGGTTAGTTGCTTACTTGTTTCTCATTTTTTCTTTCGTGTGTGCTTCTCTTGTTTTGCGTGCTGGTTTTCATGCGGATTTTTTTTGATAGCTAACAAGGAAACGAGTCCAGGAATCATTTTCATGCCATAAACATCTAGCATAACGTTACATCATACATGTACATTTATCTATATAACTGCTAAATACGCAAAACTAACAGCATCCGGATCAACCGCCGGCCAATGCAAATAAAACACGACAAGGATGTCAGTATGCAAATAAATATTTGGTTGACACTTCAACATGCAAAAAAATGGGAAAAAGAGCAAAAAAAGGGACAGAGTGAAAGAGATATACACAATGTGAGAAAATCGCATTCGTTTTGCATGGCTTGTGTAATATTTCGACATAAAGATAAAAATTCCACACACGACCAGATCACATTGAACGTTTTTTTTTCTTCTTCTGTGCAGCCAGTTTCAATATGACTCATTATATTGATATAGAGAGAGAGATATTGCCACGGCATGTTACATCTACATCAGCATTTTGAACTGATGGACAAAAATTTGGCCCGTAAAACAATTCGACACAATACAAAATTAAACCACACTACGATTGCCGTTTTTGTACAAAGTAAAACGAATGTACAACAACAACGACAATAAAATGTGTGCACGAATATTTTTTTCGGATTTATTGATACAACTGGTGGCAATAAATGGCTCGATGAACAGTATTGAAAAATTAACATCCTACTGCGTAATGCGTGAATCATTCTTTCCGGTAAAGAAATTAAAATTCGATATTTCTATTTATTGGCCATTTCAATTCCTTTTCCGGTTTAAGAAGTCGATCATTTATGTATCGAATTTGGAACATTTATTTTAATTCACTGAAATGAACGCCACAGATTTGTGCATCTCGTTAATTTGATTGGAATACATGAATTTCAATGTTTCTTCGCACAAATTATGTTTGCGCTATGAAGTGTATTTTTTAGGGCAAATAAAGAAAAACAATTGGAAATTCAACCACGAAATTGGTTTTGTATGCAGATGCATTTTATTTGATGATTTAACAACAACACCTACTCGAAAAGTTTGGTAGTTTTGTGTGTGCAAATAATTTCGACGAAAAGTTATCGTCAATGTGTTGTGAGCAAGAGTATTTGGCACATACAATTTCACGCAAATGTTGACGTACAGTGAAACGCCTTCAATTTGATTTCGAGCGCGTACACCGTAATCCCAAATTTAGTTTCGGATTAGTTGTGTGTGTGTGTGTGTGTGTGTGTGTTGCCTCGCAAAGTATTTCGCACACGGTTGTTACTTCCCACTGTGTGTAATTTTCCATTTGGCATTGCCGGTGTTTTTCACTGTCATCGCATCCCAGATGTAAATATTAATTTTATAAATCGCTTAGAACGGTAATAATGGAAATATAAATAAAATACATCTGTTGTTGTTGAAAAACCTTCATCAATGGTTTTTGCGCAATGTTTTTCGAATGACTTTTTAGTTTCATTTACAACGATTCCGCAAAAATTTCCACCGCACCCGAAATGGCACATCGAATTCAATGCATTTGCCGGGAAAAGTTTTGTCTGTGTGACGGCAATAAATTTATTTCGACTGTGGGTGTGTGTGCGTGCGATTGTGTATAGTATAGGTAATTGAGCTTGATTTTCATATTTTGTTCACGTTTTTGGCTCGATCAACCTAAAAATGAGACCAAGCACACGCATAGCAAAAAACATACAGCTCATCCGCCTTTGTCCAGGTGAAAGCGCTCATTTTTGTATATTTTTTTATTAAAAATTTACAAGGAAAAGTGGCAAATTTCTTTATTATTGATGGGTATAAAAGCGTGAAATTCTTCTTCTTTAATGCTTTAAATTCAGTGTAGCATTCGTTGATGGTAGAATGTATTAGGCGAAATAGCCCAACATATGCTGCAACAATATGACGAATATACATTTTAATATTGATCTTGTGGTATTTGCCGTTTCATCCAGACTCTCAATTTCTTATTTTCGATGCGACCACCTATTTGTGGCTTGCTTGAATCCAGGAGTAGGCAAAATTATCATATATAGGGAGGAACACAGGCATGCGATTCGAATGGGAATATTTTCGCTAATTCAAAATGAAGAATTCCAAAGAATTTTGCACATTTTTTCCCAGAGCTATGCAATTTTCTTTCCAATTTGCAATTTTATCCATGCAAAGAAGGCTGTACCATGGAAATGAATATTCATTTATGAGGAAAAAAGGAAGTTCTCTCTCTCTCTCTGTGGAAACTTGAATTCGAACATACGTAACCATTTTACATCAATGAGAAGTGGGATCTGTAAAATTTTCAGCAAATACATCCAATTCGATAACTTACGAAACAGACAAACTGATGCACTAGTAGCTTTTCCTGTGATTCAAAATGGCGCTAAATACCCTGGGTAGAGAAAATTGACTTGTTAAACCTACTTTGAAATCATCACTTGCAAGCAAGTGATAAGATGCATGGATCTGGTATTGCTTTGAACGTCATGTCTCGTGTATGTTTTGCATTGCGTGTGTGTGTGTTCCGGCACAATGGCAATAACATGATTTCGGTGGCATACAAAACTGAGTACGACTTCATTAAAATTAGAAGCGTTTCGCGTCACTTTATGGAAATTTAATGAAATATTCATAATTTTAATTGACGATTGTGCCATGCATACACAGAGAGGAGTACACACGCAAGCTCGCACGCACACCAGCATTGTTGTTAATAGCCTATCGAAAGCGCTCGACAAATTCATGCATTGTTAAAGTTATACACAGTCCCAGTGCAAAATGCGAAAGCAACGCTCAGAACACTAAGCTTAATGTCGTTGTAGACGTGGGTACGTGTTGCGGTGTGCAAATTGTGTCGTGTTTTGTGTGTTTCAAAAACAAACAATTTGAATAGGAATTTAAAGGATGTTGTAGAATTTTCCTTCCCCAAACCGTTCATAATGGGTTCGAAGCAGCGAGGTGTGGGTCTCGGTTCAAAATCTGTAAAGGAGTCGTGCATAAAAAAAGGCAGCCGGTGTCACTGTTCATGTCGAGTATCTAAAATTACCTAATTGAAATCAAGTATTCTTTCTGCTTCTGTCTCGGTCTCGGTCTCGGTCTCGGTCTCTCTCTCTCTCTCTCTCTCTCTCTCTCTCTCCATTTTCCCCTCACTCTCCCCATCACTCGGTCTGTGTTGATTGCAATTGTGCAATCGGATTCGGCATATTTCAAGTGAAAATTGTATGCATAACCAGCAATTAAATAGACGGAGTATTTTTATTCATTGCATCAACTGTAGTAAATTGTACCGTACGTAAGTAGGTTGCTATTACGTTTAATTATAACTGCATTCCCATTTTGCACCGTTGTCTCGGAACGGTCTATACTCATTTTTATTCACTCCTTCACTTCGCTTCAGAGGAGGAATCTTATGTACGAGATGGCAATTATCACGTAATAAACGTTTTCCATTTTCAAAGAATTGTTTAGACGTAATATTCCCATTCAATTGTATTACACTGCATTGTTGCACTTCTGTTCCCAAGTATGCCAATCATTCTCTCATGCATGCATTTAACCGTTGCGAATAAATATATTTTCAAATTGGCTTTTAGTCGAGCATAGTTTTCAGTGGAAAATGTGAAGAGCAAAAGAGCGTGTCTCTCCAAGGATTTATTTGCAAATGAAACATAACAAAGGAGTTTGTGCTCTCATCATTTCTGTATTATGTTTAATAGATTTTCATCGATGAAATAACAAGTGACTCTCTATTCACTGATTAAATATTTGATTTCCGTTCGTTTACCGAGTTGATTGAGACTATCCGCAAATAAAGTCGGCTTTTTTGTCCATTGATTATGATGCAGAAGTTGAAAGTGAAATACAAATGAAATATACGACCCATAATATCGATCAAATGATTTTTTCCTATTTATACTTTCTTGATTTACGTGTGTACATGTGTATGTGAGTACGTGTGTGTGTGTGCGTGTGTGTGTCAGTCTAACGAAACCGAAAACATCTTTCAAATACGAAATAAAGTTTATTGAAGTGAACAAAAATAAATGAGCCGACTAAGTTCATTTGAACATCGATACCGACGTTTTGTTGAATTGTGTACTGGACAAATTGAGCCTTTTACCCGCTGACCGATCCCATTCAAACATTCAAAATGTGTATGTGTATTTTGAAGTTGGTGGTTTCGAAAATCCCGATTTGAAGGTGCTCACTTCGGGTCACATATCCAGGTAGACCGTAAATGATATATCATATAAAAGCTGACAACGGTCTCGAATGTGCACACTGGAAATGATGAAGACAGAAACTGTTGCTGGCAAGGGAAGGAATGTGGGAGAGAGAGGTTGAGAGAGAGAGAGAGAGGTTGAGGGATAGAAAGTGGGGATAAATGAAAAGCAACACAAAACCAATATCCACTACGACGACTTTAAATGTAACGAGATGGTGTGTTGTAGTGAAGGGTGTAATAACTGATGTAGTTGCCGTTCGCATTAAATATGTATCTATGCAAATCGATTTCGATAAATTTTCCCAAGTGGTCGTAAAAATGCGAGATGAAGAGAAGCGCACACAGCGTACACATCGATTTCATTGATATTGACTCTTATATTACCTGATAACTTGAGAACTTCCCTCGTATTCGCTTTTATTCCTTTCCACTGCGGCTGCAATTTAACTTTGATTGTTTGGAATTGAAAAATGTGGATGTGTGCGTATTGGCCTGTGTGCGTGTGCCATCAGTGCGAGTAAAACGTGTATGGCCATGCAAATCAAGCGAATGGAATTAGCTGTTCGAACACATTTCATGTGACATGTTCGGGTTTAACTTATTAGATGAAGAAAAACAACAACAACAACAACAACAACAAGAAAACAATCACTAATGGGAAATAAAATTTTAAGACTCCGCCGAGAATAGTCGGATGCCTTACTCATTCTTTCTATGTCTCGTCTCATGTGAATGTGGGCAAAATCTGTTAAACGAAATTGCAATCGGCAATTTCAATCCAGTGTTAAGTTATTGTTCTCGTTTCTAAAACACTTTCAGCCGAGCCGTGTACACTTTCTCTTTCACTTGATCCACCTTGGCATGTAATAAATTCCAATAAAGAAGTTGACATGTGTCAAACCTGAACCACTTTTCTAAAACCTTTTTGTGTTTATTCGGCTCGTTCTTTTTTCCACTTGCCTCCTTTCTCTCTCTCTCTCTCTCTCTCTCTCTTTTCGTTCTTTCTGACTAGCTGGCTGACTGGCCCTTTTCTGACTACACATCAGTCGATCACCGGTGACCTTTTTGATTTCAAAAACAGCACACAACATCCGTATGAAGTTGTCAAGTTATTTCGTTTTCTCTTCTTTCTCAGCAGCACACATTCCACACATACACGCACACAGGTGGTGCCTACGTTGATAGATATTTCATTACATTTTCCACACTTATTTATTATTTGAGCACCATGGTGAATACAATAGCGAAAAGGTCAAAGTCGTGTGCTTTTTGTTTGTGTGAAAATGCCACCACAAAAAAGTGATATACGACTAGGTCGTCTCTGGTTCATTTGATTTGTTTTTAATTGTTCCCACCCATGCAGACAGATTGATGGTACTTTTACGAAAGGACAAAAGCGAAATGCTATTGCAGTTTTTATTCGTTAAATAAAAAAAAAAGTTTCCCTTTCAAAAGCAAAATTTTAATAAAAAAAAAATCCATTTGTTATCTTCCACAGTTACATCGAGCTCAGCATCACTTCCAAACCGAACCAAAGCTGCAGTGGCAGCCGCATCGAATGTCATCATTTCACTGGGTTTGATGGTACTCCACGGCTTCTGTTGAAGCATTGATAGACCATTTAATCAAACATTTTGTCTGTGACAAGCCAATCTTCTTAAGTTGCTGATTAATATTTTTTTTCTTTTATTCACGTTTATTTCCACATGATTGATATTTTCGTCTGAAAAATGCCACACAAAGAAAATATTATACTAACGAAGTGAGGGGAAAAAATTTACCAAAGTCATCATAAGTATATTGTCTTCAATTTTTATGCATAATTTCGTTTAGTAACCACCTATTTAGACAAAATTTTCAAAAAAGAGTGCAAAATATGAAGATTTTGTTTTATAGACACATACACTCAAACAAAGCTTTTCTTTTCATTTGATACTTTTGTTTTAATTTGAAAATATATTTGAAATCAATTTAATTGGGTTGTCCTGATTCGAATGGCTATGCAAATTATACAAATTAAGAAGTAAAGAAAAAGTTCGCCGACAGCGAAACTTAGTTAATAAAAAAAAAAAAAATAATGATGAAAACAGGTATTGCAATAGCTGCAAATGAAATTGATAACATCAAGATATAAGATCGAAGGTAAGAAAATTGATGCTGACACGCTAGAAAGATATTAAAGGGAATAAAACCGTTTGGTGTTGTCAAACAGTTTGTGTGTTGTACTTGCATGAAAACTGTCATTTAAAGAAGCATATTTATAGGCATTTTCATTGTTGTTTTAATTTTCATTTCAAAAAATATTGTAAATGAGCTTTATATTTAAAAAAAAAATCAAAATGAGACACAAAAAAACCATGTAATTCAAATGATTAACAAAAGAATCATGAACACAGAAAAGAGAAAATTTGCGAGAAAAAAACTAGTCCCGAGTGGGAGTATGAATAAGTGTGCGTGATTATCATTTTGGAAAATATTCAATGTGTGTGAACAGTGAAGTTGGAAAATGTTGTGGCCAAAGGTGTGTGATTCACATTCATACGATATCGCACAAACAGGGGAAAAAACCGCGTATTAAAAGGAAACAGCAAAGGCTTTGCATATTTTCGATCTATGTTTAAAAATCTGTACAACGAACACGAGAAAAAACTGGAGAGAAGCAACAGCAGCAAAAAAATTGAAACAAATCAAATACTGTCACGATATCTATAGACGCCGAGTGAACACACTGCGATCGCAACGCATTTTTACCGTGCACATCATTTTTCCACACACTATACGTTCAAGTCGTTTGCGTGGCCTGCACATTTCTGGCCACGATATGTGCGCGTTCCTATCATAATATTGATCGAAAAATTGATCTTTACGCAAACACTCCAGCCATAAATCACATCACGCCATTATTATTATTCGATTTTTTTCCCTCTTCGGTCTGCTTATTGAATTTCCGCATTCAGGTGTGTGAACAATTTGCATACTTGAAGCGAGAGCAAATTTTCCACATACACACACACACACACACTCTCTCTCCTTCACTCTCGTACGCGTCATCGCACACTTTAAAATGATGCATTGAATTTATTTGAATATTAATTATTATTTACACATTCATCCAAAAGTAATGTTAGTTCAAAATGAAAAAAAAATGCACATTATATGAAGAAATTAATGATAGGCAATAAAATTATATGAAATATTCGTTTACAAAACAGATACAGCCCCCAACTACATGCTCCCCCATCCTTATTAATGATAAATCATATATGCATACAGCGAATTCCGAATCAAACCAATTATTCAATGCATTCGATAATATAAAACTTGCACACAACAAGAAAATGGTTTAAATGTAAGATAATTGACGAAGACAACAAAAGAAAAGCATGAACGAGTACCCAATCAAAACATACACATACACAGCAAAACTGACAAAACCAGAGTCGAATGACAAATAAGAAAAATAGCATACTCAAGTGATTACCGAACGTCATTCCGATGTGGCAATGGCGAATGATTGAACGATGTTAGGGCGATTAGGTTGGTGGCGAATGAATGTTGCACTGATGATATATGAGAACGAATGAGATATGGAATACGGCTAATGTTATTTTTTATTGTATGAGGACATTCAACTCGTTCGTTACCCCCCCCCCCCCCATTCACATTTAATGTTTAAAACATTTAAATAACAACAAAGAACATTACTATTAATCCTGTCGAAATAAGCGTATATATTTAGGTGATAGAATAAACAAAAGAAATAAATATATAAATACACTTACGATTGCAAATTATTTGATTATATAAATGAAACACACACACATAAAATAGAGGATATACCGGAAAAACCGAAATAACGAGAACCATGGCCACACAACGGTCCCACAAAAAAAACACTGCAAATCCATAAAATGCATCAGACTTTTCTTGCTCTCGCTCTCTGCAGCAACTTTTTTGCACAATGGTTTAATAACAAGGAAAATCATGAATTATTGTCATTAATAAGAACACAAAATGAATAAGTACTATTTGGAAAACAGAAGAACCAACCAAACACCACAAACAGACAGATAAAAACAAAGCCATTTTCAATTTTTGAGCTATAGCAAATGGAAAAATGATCAGGCAAAACACTTCGACTTTTTCAATAGCTATATGAGTTCATAAACAAACGAAAATTGCAAGAGAAAAAGAAATAACAATTCCACAGACACAAATAACATCTACCATTTCGAGAATAAACAAAAAAATATATTAAAATGAATGAAAAAAAAACTTTTATTTTTTTATAAAAGTGAAGCAGACAGAATTTTTTTTTTCAAATAATATTTCATGGCATTAGATGATGGCAACAAAAAAAAATATAATACGCAAAACTCGATGTGAAAAATAATTGATAAAATGAAACCAAACAAAACTCACATACACACACACACACACACAAACTAAAGGAAATTAAAATTAATGAAAAATTAAACTATTTATATGATATTGTTATGAATTATTCTTGAAGCAGCTGAAATCCTAGGATAATCACATGAATTATGAACTTAAATTGTGTGTAATTGTGAAATGAATGGTTTAAATTTGCTATTCGAATTATTAAAACAAAACAAAAAAACAGACATACGAACAAGAAGAGCAAAAAAAAAATCGCTTATAAACAGCTATAGAAAGCTCGAGAGCACACAATTGGCATTGGATATACAAATTTGGTTTGTAAGCATTTCGACGGCCGTGTTATTTGAAAAGTATATGAAAATGGGAAACTGGACTTTTTTTTGGCTAATTTATATGATACATGGCTTTGGGTTGTCGATTGCAACGAAGCCAATTATAATTGCGTCGATCAATGCATAGTTAAGTAATTTATCAAAACAATCAATCAATCAATCAATCAATCAAAAAATTCACAAACACAAAAACACACTCACAAACACACACACACTCAGAGAGAAAACAAAAACGTCAATCACCGCTTCTCATTTCTATGAATTTCTTCGTAGATCTTTAAAAAAAAATTCTTCCCGTCAAAACTATTTGCTTTTCAATCGTTCGATTTGTTTTCTTGAAATCCTTCAGAAGCTCTACTTAGATTTAATGAGAAAAAAAAATATAAATGATAAATGTTTCAATGTTCAATTACGGCCTCATGTCGCGTTCAATACCAATTTTTATCCAACCAAACGATCAGTTCAAGCCAATCTGCAGAGAAAAATGTTTTCTAGTTAATATTTTATTCGTTTAGCACAGTTCATTTAATGTCTTTTCTGGTCATTTTCAATTAAAAAAAAAGGAATTTGAAATGCGTTTAAATTTCATTTGATCATTTACCTTGTGGATATGTTATCATGGTCTTTTTGATTTTTTAAGTTTTTTTTTGGTCTTTTGGTGCCATGAAAGAGCCAAAGATTTACAATTTAATTTCATTCAAACGAAAGGGTTAATTTCCAAATTTGTGACACTTTTATTGCTAGGCTAAGAAATTAAATTGGTAGACACGATGCAAATAGCCAAAATTAATCAGGATATTTAATGGAAATGAACATATTTGATTTCTGGCATAACTAATATATATATATATATATATATACAACTAGTTGAAATCTAGTGTTAAGTTGGTAGTATATTATTGTCATACATTGTGCGAAATATTTCAATGCCAAGACACAAACAAATGAGCATGGATTAGCCCAATTAAAAATTAACGATTTAAAAAAGAAAAAAACTACAGCAACAACAAGAAGAGAAAAAAAATGGAATTACAGATGAAATATAAAGATATTTATACATAAAAGAACCTACTATTTAAGACTCAAATTGAAGTGAATAAAACAAAAACAATGTGTTTAATGAAAATATGCATTGCAAAAAAAAACAAAGAATAAGAATTAAGAATTAAATATGAATCTATGGAAATATGCATGCATTGATTGAGACGCAGATTGTAATATACATGCATATTAATCAGAATGCGACACTCACATACATTTAAAAGAAAAAACAAAAACTACAACTGAATCAAAATGGTCAAATCAATATTATAGTACGAGCATTGAATATATAAAATGCGCATATAAAACTCTCTGCTTCCAGCCGTGGGAAGTTGGGGGAGCCACTCTGTGAAATCAAAGTGCGCCGCTTGAACTACCTTTTCTCCGAATCCATTGCAAGGATTTCCCTTCCCGTGTGGTCTCAAAGACCAAAAATGGGTACTACAATGTTCTTTTTTTTCCCCGTTTGTTTTGAACAATTCAACAAAAGTAAACAAGAAAATATTATTATACTTATAATAATAAGGAAATAAAATCTGTATGTGAACAATAAGAACGTAAATAAAATTTATGATGGAATAATCGATGGTGTGCTCTTATTTTTTGCTCTGATGCATAGTCAGCCCTTCAATCATTTGCTCATTAGCATGTAATTACTTTTGGGTTGCACAATTAGCTCAGTGTATCTCTTGTTGGCCCTCTTCACGCCGCGTTCCTTCCCCCACTTTGCATCCAGGATCTGTGCAGTGTGGCACGACGTGGCGTTGAAAGCATTTGGAAGAATTATCCAATCGCCTAATGGTTTGCGAATTAAAATTTCATTCAGTTGATTGCTGCTCTGCCAAACTTTGCCAATGAACATGTAAAGTGTGTCGATGTGCTGCTGCTCGCACTCGTTGCACTCTCTGTATTCGAAAACGCGTTAATTTTCGTCAAGTTCCAATTAAAATTATGCAGCTTCACAAAAAGCGCACCAGGCGATAAAAAAGATACAATTCAACTCAACTCCCGACCAACGACAACGACGTCAACGACAACAACAACAACAACAACAAAGACAACTGGGATGAGGGGTGAAAAACATAGCACGAGTTGCCGGAAAAAATTCCATCGAAATAGAACCACTGACGCCAACAGTACTGCACGCTATATCGTTGCTTTCGCTCAACAACACAGTTACGAGAGTAACGAGATGGCAAGAGAATGGGAAAAGCGAGAAAAAAAAGAAGAAGAAGAAGTACGGACAAGCATAAATGCGTCCCAAGGGATCGAGGCACTGGTAATTTTGTCCAAAACACACAAAATAAAACAATAAAATATTAATATTTTTTGTAATTTAATTAGGAAAATGCAAATTTAAATATATTAAATGGCAGATATTAACCCAGTTTCGAATGGGTAGAAGAAAGTTGCTGCTGCTGCTTTGTTATTGCTCTGTTTTACTCGTCGCGAACGTTATGCACCATCACCACCACCGTCACCACCACCACCGAAAAAAAATCGTAACGAGCCGAAAATGTTCATGTTATTTTTCCTTTGGCTGGCACTCAGGGAGGTCACAATACACAGACTAAGAATTATCACGGAGTAAGTAATACACGAACACCCTGTCTGCAGCTTTTTTTTCTCGTTGTCTCTCTTTCTCTTTTTCCCTCGGCAAACATCTCTCCATAAAATGTGAAATTATCAATTATTTGGTGTGCAAATAAATATGACATTCATCGTTGGTCCCTAATATGTGCTTTGTGACCGAAACAATGACTTGAGCGAAAAAGAAGAACTTTCCCCACATTCTCTCTCTCTCTCTCTCTCTGCACTGTTTGGCTGTGTGGAGTTTTTTCTTTCTTTGTTCTCACTTCGTCGGCGACTGGCAATTTTGCAACACTTTACCGTCAAACTCGAGCAATGGGAGCGAAAGAGAGAAAAAAGTTGGCAGCGATGAAAATAATGGGGGAAAAACAATCATATCATTTTTGTTTTATGACGCATTTCATTGGTCTCCGAAGGCATTAACACTGGGCGTAAGCGTTCTTGAAACATCAATTGGTTAATTTGCCTTTAAATGCCTGTGTACTTTACTCAAAATTTTCTGTAAACTGTGATCAATTTCTCGTGGGTGGTTTTGGCTGTTTTTTTTTATTCATTCTTGCTGTTGAAAGATTACGTCGGTTTTTATGGTGGGCATAATCAAGCATGTAATTTCGATAGTAATTGATTGCGGTGCGAATATACATTTCTGTTTTCTCAAAAACGACACTTTTGCGGCAAAAGTTTTGCTAGTTGACGCTTTACATTTTCAATTACCCCACGTCAACTTTACAGAGTGCTTTTAATGTGCACTGCACTCATCTCAATTCAATCTGAAAGAACTCCAATGCGTTGAAAGTCTGTCATTACGTCTATAATACACGCGCAGACCAACGTCGACTTAGATTCGATCGACCATTTCTGTTTCTCTTTGTGTTGTGTGCCTCAACGTCTCTCCTTCCCTATCTTTCTCTCCTCTTTTCATCTGTTTTGAAATGCATTGCATTCACATTTGATAAATGTAAATTGTGGAGAGAGAAAAAAACATCAGCAACACAGAAAAAAACAAGTCTGTCAAAAGCAAAGTTGCAAACGAGTGAGTACATTGCGTCACTTAGTTTGCGGCTACATGTGATTTTAAAACAATGGCAAAAGTAATGAGAAAGCGAAGAAAAAGCGCGCTGCTCTCAAAAAGAGTCAAGTTTAATTAAATATAGTCGTAGAAAGAGAAAAAAAAATGCGAATACAATTGAAAGGGCAAATAAACATGCAGAAAACATCTAAACCAAAACCGACGGTTGTGCATTCAACAAGGAGAGATCTTGAAGCAATAACATCCAGACACTCGAATTTGTAAATTTGTTTCGAAATAGGTTTAACTACAGCATTAGTGATGACAGTAACCGGATAGCGAACTGTGCCCAAGCACAAACGTAAAAGATGAAGTAGAAGAAAGGGAATGCGAACAGAAAGACACACAGACTCTGGAAAAAAAAACTGGAATGGTCCCCGACTAAAAGCTCAAAGAGACAAACTAAATCTGGCGAAAGTGCAAAAACAGTGAGAAAAAGTGTTGTCCGCTTTCGCGACATTCGAGTAATCAGCATTATTACTTGCCTTAATGGCAAATCTGAGCAAATGGAAATGGCAACGGCAACGGCAACGGCAACGGCAAAAGCAAATAAAAGACACCAACTACACAAATCGATTGCAAATGTATGCGACAAGAATTGCCCCGTCGTACCACCAAGGACAATGACTGGTATGGCACGAGCTGTGTATGTGTGTGTGTGTGTTTGTGAGTTTGTGTGCAAAAAACAGCGCAAAATTAAAATAAAGAAAAAGTAAAGTGTTTTTCTTAGCAAACAAACTCTCGCTATTTCAATGGGTTTTTC